CCCCAAAACCCCAAAACCCCAAAACCCCAAAACCCCTAAGATTTTATATTTTTTAAATAAAATTCAAAATTCATATAAAATGAGTCTTGAGCAATTTGAAGATCTAATAGAAGGCTGTGCTATTACTGAAGAGTACTTTGAAATACCTCCAAATCACCAAATACTACAAAGTGCATTAAAGAAGTCTCAAAATCCTAGAACCAAGAACACTCTCTCTTTGAGAGTTTATGGAGCATATTCTCTTCCTAAATCTTGGCAAGAGAAAATCGGAGATCCAGGAGAAGATGCTTATCAATATGAGGTGAAACTCTCTGGTTTAGAGATTAAGGGAGCTAAGCTCCAAGCCAGAGAAATGTCAGAAGAAGAAAAGGCAGAACAAGAAGCCACTAAAGGAAAGAAGGGTGCTAAGAAAGGAGAAGAAGAACCACTCCCAGAAGAACTTGTCTTAAAAGAGAAGATCGATAAGGAGAGAGAAGAGCTTGAAGAGATGTCTGAAAGAGACAGATTTTTCAGGCTCCAGGAGGATCCTACTAAGACAATTAGCCTCAAGTTTGATGATCCTAAACAATCTTTACCATTGCTTAAAGAAAAGCTTTGGGATTTCGAAGATCTCGTTAATGAGGAGAATGGAGCATATATTGAATTTAATAAGGTCCAAGCTTCTGAAGAAGATGCTGATCCAAAGAAGAAAGGAAAAGGCAAACAGCCAGATAGCATCGAACAACATTTTTCTAAAGGGTGGATCGACTTTACTCCCTTGATGGTTCCTGGAAGAAAGCATACTATGCAGAGAGTCTTACTAAAAGCTTGTGCTCCTCCAGTGGTAGAAAGTGAAGGAGATGATGATGAGTCTAAAGAAGGTGATGAAGATCAAGAAGAGAAGGAGCCAGAGCCAATCTTTGAGGAAGCTCAAACTTATCTCCATATTCATCTCTCTACAGAGTTTGCTATTAATCCTACTATTAATCCAAATGAGGTAGACCCACCAGAGATCCCAGATCCTGTTGAAGGTGAAGGTGAAGGAGAAGGTAAACCAGAAGAAGAAAAGCAAGAATCTGAGAAGCAAGAACCTCCAAAAGAAGATGCTGTTGAGGAAGAAAAAGCAGAAGATGATGGAAAGCCTGAAGACTCCTATATTGAAGAAGATGAAATTATTGAGGATGAAAAACCCAAAATCGAACTTAAAGACGAAATCTATCAGAATATTGACTTTAAATTAGGGAAATTCTCTTCTACCTCTGATGCTACTTCAAACTTCAGGATCATTATTCAAAAATATTTGAAGAAGATAAGTGATCACTACTCTATTATCATGTCACAAGATGAAGTGGACCAGAAATCTAATTCAAAGATTGCTGCTATTCCTACGCATGCAACTTCAACTCAGAGACAGAAGAAGATCGAAAAGTACATTCTTCAATCTGGGCCAATGTACAGTGCACTAAAGAAAGAAATGAAGATGGCTATTCACAGGATCATTAAAGACAAATATCTTAAAACAGTGAATCATGAAGGATTGAGTAAAGAGAATAGAGATGAATTCATTGCAAAGCTATATACCTACCTTACTAAGCAAGTCAGGGTAACTCTGAAAGCTACAGTTGAGAAATACAAAGATATTATCCATGAAGACCTTACTGAAGACCTCTTCACAGCTATGAAGGAGGAAGAGGAACAAAGAAGTAAAGCTTTCACAGAGGATTATAAAGTCAAACTCGACAGACTTGCCCAGGAATATGAAAATATCAGAAATTTCCCCAAAGCTGAGAAATATTACAAGAAGCTACTTCTAAAGGATCCAAAGGATGTCAGTCAGCTTCTTAATCTGGCAAGATTTTCAATGAAAATTGGCAAGGTCGACCAAGGATATGAGTATTTCAGAATGGCAAGGGATATAGATCCTACTTCAAGAGAGCTCATACTTGCCTATGCAGGAATTCTCATTCAAAGGGAAAGGTACACAGAAGCAAGCAATGTTCTCAATGAGATAATTAGTCAAGACTTTAATGACTGCCACGCTAACATCCTTCTCTCTATCATTGATGAAGCAAGGCAGCGTCCAGGATTAGTGAGAAAGCATGTTGCTATTGCTAAGGTTCAAAGAATGAGGGAGCTAGATATCATTCCTAAAAAGATCAAAGAAATCCCAAATCTGAACGAAATCAACTTCAAGCTTGAGAGACCAAACTGGGATACCATCGTAACCAAGGACCAAAGTATGGAAGCCAAGGATAATGACAAGCTATTCTTTGAAGTTATAGAATTCATGCTGAAGCACCATCTGACTAAGATAGCTGATAGCTTGCTTCAATACATCCAAAATGTTGAAAATGACAAGTATAGACTAAACTTTGCTAGAGTCAAGCATCAGATGAAGGAGTTTGAGCCGGCCATTGAAAGTTTAGACAAGATCTTGAGTAAGAACGACTGCCATCCACAAGCTTTAGTTCTCAGAGGACATACATATTTCGACTATCTCAACATCTTCGATAGTGAAGAGTCATATATCAAGTTTATACAGAACTGATCTGCGAAAGATCTTGAAAGTAGACTAGCGTACTACTTCCTAATTGAGAGGCTTGGAATTGTCTACATCGAAAGAAGAGCATGGAAAGATGCCAAGACAGTCTTCTTGAAATGTGCTGAGGAGAACCAGACCAGTAATGGATGGCTAAACCTTGGAATCGCTTGTCTGAGACTTCATCAGTATGAAGAAGCAGAAGATGCTCTTACTCAGGCAAATTTCTTGGACTCTCACAACCCAGAAATTTGGGGATACATTACATTATTGTGACTCAAGTATCCTGACAATTCGAGAGCTGACCAAGCAGAATATTGCATCTTGAGAGCACTCAGACTTGGATGAGAGAATCCTGATCTTCTTGAAGAAATTGGAGATATTTATAGTGACTCTAAGCCAACATTTGCTATAGGCTGTTTTGATAGAGCGCTTGAGATTGATGATTCAAGAGGAGAGGTTTATCAAAAATATGGTAACGTCCTGATGAATCACAAAAAGAATGAGATTAAGAAGGCTATAGACTTACTCAAACAAGCTCTAGAGAAACTCAAAGGAGATGGTAAGAAAGCTCATTGCGCTCTGATTCTCCAGGAAGCTTTAAAAGAAGATGGAAGATATGAAGAAGCTGAAGAATATGCTGAATATCCTCAAAATCATACTGCTGAACAATAATTCAACTCTAAAATATCTATAAGGGGTTTTGGGGTTTTGGGGTTTTGGGGTTTTGGGG